AAAAAAAAAAAAAAAAAAAAAAAAAAAAAAAAATCAGCTGCACGTGTAAAAAGGACTAAAATGCTTCACCACGCTTGCAGCCGCTATTCATTGAGGGATTACGATTTGTTTTTTCAGAAAGAATTCGAAATACGTCTGAAGAAAGAAAATATTTTTTAAAAACTTCAACAGAATTTAAATGTTTCTTATCCATAGTAACAATGATCGTTTTCCCTGAGGAGTTTTAAACAGAAATGTAGTAAAGCTTTATTGAAGTTCTGGGTTCTGTTTTTAAACTAAAAAAATTATTTCATTTAAGCTGAACTATTGTAGCTACAGAGCAGTGTTTCTGGCTATAAACTAACAAATATTTGCTACACTGCTAATAAATAAAAAGCTCATTAGTGTTAGATTTCCCCAATTAGTCGTTTAACCTAGCCCCAAAATATTTGCTTTTCAGCCTTATTATACTTTTCCAATCTTTACTTTCTGTCTCTATGGGGGAAATAAACCCAGGTTATTAAAGACATATAAACTGTGTTTAGTAAAAAATCCTTCCCTGCTTCTCTGCCTCCCAGAAAACATTTCCTTGTACTGGTACTGGGTCAGTGAGAGCCTCATCCTGCATCTTTATTATAATCTACTCATGAGAATAAATGTATAGTCTCTCTCTCTCTAACTGCTTACAGAGCAAAGGTTTTAGGGATCTACCCAGCATCAGAAACTTCCAAATGTGGCCAATTTCCTGCCCAATGTGGATATGAATTTTGATGAAGACTTGAAAAGAAGTAAAAATGTGGCAATGCTATGCTAAGCAGAAATAAGCCTGGAGGGAGAAGGAAGAGTGGGAAAAATCCCAAGATCCAAGAATTTGGTAAAAGAGTAATGATATGGGGAGCTCTAAAAAAAAAAAAAATGCCCTTAACTTTAGTACATTTTACAAATATCATTTAAACCAGATTTTATCATTTGGGCTGTTTTGCAGAGACACTTATGCTTTTCATAAAACAATGTAAATGAGCAAGTTTAACATAATAGGCAAATAGTTAATGAGAATAGAATTGTATAACAAAGGGTGTTATTTTGAGATGAGAGCCTTCAACTCAAAGTGTATCTGGACACTGCCAGAGTCCAATCTCTTTGCTGGTGAACTGCTTAATTACCAAGTTATGTGTTATTTTTTAGACTGATCTTTTATTATTTTGCCATAATCATCATCATTATAGGAATTTTAAACTTAGCAATTAAATGTTTTCTGAGAAAGATTTCTTGAGAGTTCTTGAAATGTCAATATTATTTCAAGTCTTTCAAGGTCCTCAACACAGACCTTTTTTTTTTTTTTTTTTTTTTTTTTTTT